GGCACCAGCCTCTGCGCTGCCCCAGAGCCCTTCCCGGGCCGAGCCGGCGACAAGAGCAGTTCCCTCCCGGTTTCAGCAACTTTTCCTCCTCCCCGAGAGCAGCCTCTCACCCAGCAGCACCAGTTCCTCACCAGAAAACCCAGGAGACGCAAGGGTGGACTTTTCTGGGACATGCTTGGCAGGAATGGGAGGGCAGTCACTGCAGGCCTATGCTCCAAGAAAGGCTCAACTGTGCCACCACAAAATGGCCAAGCACCTATACACCAGCCAGTCTTGACCTGAGGAGCCCCCAAGCTGAGGCCCAACCTCACTCATTGCAGCTATGGCAGCCAGAGGAGCCTCCAAAGGACAATTCTGCTGCAGCAAGTCACAGCCTCGTGGTCCCCCTCAAGCTCTGAACACTTCCCTGACCAGTCTTGTGTTCTTGCTTCCACACAAGTAACTGCCTAGCTTACTGCAGAACAGGGGAGAACAGACAAAAAGCCATTGTGACTTCTCCTGCTTTGTAAGCAAATGTCGAACCCAGAACTGACAGACTATTTTCTGCAATCCCCCTCTGGAGAGGTAGCCTCACCCCAGGCCTCACTGCTGGGCTCCTCCTGTGGCAGCCACGACAGCTGCACACTACAACAGCCCCCACCAGCCCTCTCCTGCTGCTCCTCAGCCAGACCCATCTCCTCCCCTCTGCAGCTGGGGCACACGGTAAGGTCACCAGGCCTCAGCTGAGCAGGGTGCTGCTTAAATCCCACCCCCCCAGCCTGTGGCAGAGCAGGCTGTGGCATTTCTTAAATCCTGGGCCAAAGCATGGCAGCACACACTGCTACAGCCCAGACTATCCAAGCTTCCATACACCAAACTGCCCACACAGAGTATCATGACACCACGCGTCATGGAAACCCCTCAAGCTGCCAGCAGCATGTTAGAAAGGAGGGGGATTAACACAAATACACCAAATGGGTCTGTAACGCAGGAGTCTGAGAGCAGGGTTAGAGTAGGTCTTGGGTCTCAGCACTTCCAGACAGCGAAGAATGGGGGTTTCATGCAGGGTGAATGGGGTGGACAAGAGACCAACACACCCAGGCACCTACTCACTGTTTTGGATAAGCCTTACTAAAACTAATACCTGATGCAATCACTGACCAACATGACAACTGCTATTCTTCAGTCTCCGGCAGAGATGCTTGGGGCTGCACAGACAGGGGAGTGAAGGTCATCTCATACCTTCCTGTACAGGGAGAGAGGCAGCTCCTACACCCTAATGCCATAAACAAGTTCCTGCCCCACACTGATTCACATCTGCCCCTTGGTGTGGGACAAGACACTCACTTGCATAAATCTTCATAGCTTTAGGCCAAGACCACAGCCCAGTAGAATAAGCTGCTGCCAGTTACAAAAGAGGAAAATACTGAACAAACTGGGAGGTTCAAGAGAGGAAAAGCTGGTTCAGAGAAGACAGATTTAGTGTAAAAATAAATGTCATTTTTGCAGGAGGGAGGGTGGAATGGAGGAAGACGGTGCCAGGTGCTCCTACTGACGCACTTTCCCTGGGACGTAATTCCTATCAATAGTCTCCTCTTGCAGGAACATATGTAAGCAGCGCTCGTTCTGTGCCAGTGGGTGTCCAGCAATTCTGGAAGAAAATCAGATGTGGAGATTAGCACAGCTGCCACCAAGACCCCCACACCTCTACTCTCTGTAGGGAGTAAGGCAGACCTCCTCGCTAACAGGCAGCCAGCTCCAAGGACACCCACATCAGGCTCAGGCCAAGGCCACCGGATTGGTGTGCAAGATGGCCAGCAAGAGGTGCTTGAGCACGGGCTACTCCCTCCCACACTGTGCCCTGCAGCAGGGCATGAGCATCCTGAACCAACGCCACCCTGTCAGTGGGTCTCTGCAGCACAGCTCTTCTGCTAATATTTACTTCACTCTCAGAAGAGAGCACCGAACACAATCCACACTCAAAGCTGGACTTCTTTAGCACCATGGTTGCGTTACCCAGATGCAGGGATCATCCTTTAGCATGGGACCTGAGCGCAGCAGATCAAGACTGCTTCCTGGTCAACCTGCTACTGGGTTGCAGTTTGCCCTCTTCTCCCAGCAGCAGCCAGAAAGGCAGCACCCAGCAAACCCAGGACATCAAGCTTACTTGTTAATAAACTGTTCTAATCCCTGTCTCCGCTCTTCAATGAAGGACTCCTCAAAGATGCCTTCGTCTCCTCGGAAGGGAAGCTGTCGTTTCAAAGCTTTTCCAGGCAGCGGTGGCACTACAATCTAAAAGCACAGAATCACCTTGTCAGCAGAACAGCCACCTGCAAGTGGATACCCTTTGCCATCTGACACTTACCTCCAGCCCCACTACATGGATAGAGATCAAGCCCGAACAGCTGCCCACCACTACAGCCTCTCTTCTGGGCAGCTCAAAATTATTGCTACAGCTGTTGCCATATGTCCTGGTTTCAGGAATAGGCAGGTCTGAGCCAGGCCTCACCTTACTGTCTCGTTCCAGCTCATTCTTCAGCCATTCAAAGTCACTGTATCGTCTCCTCACACACGATTCCTTCAATTTGAAGATTGGGAGGTTTGTCTGTAACGAAGAGAAGTAGATAATTTGCAGGTTGCTTTGGAAGCCAGATAACATTTCAACGCATAATTGAAACCTGAAGCTGCATTTAGAAAACCAAGCCCCCTGAGAAGGAGGCTCATGAGAATACCCAGCTTCTTTATCCAGGACAGCGCACAAGCACTGAAGCCCTTTAGAATCAAGCAAGCACTTGCCAGGCTACTCAGAGCCAGCCATTCCCTCCCCCTCAAGTGACTATTTCAGGAATACGCCCTCTCCCAGGGGCATGCACTGGAACCAGGGCTCACAATACAGAGAAGGCTGGTTTTCCTCCCCCCT